TGTAGTAAAAGTACTTATTTAGTAATTCCTTTAAAGCTTCATTAGAAAAGCTATGCGTTATTGTATTTGTTATGTCCCCAGGGAGCAAGCCGAAGGCGACTGTTAAAATACTGTGTTATAGTTCAAATCGTAGCTAAAGCGAATCAGCTACTACATTGAGGTAACGTTAATGTGTCAAATTAATGTATACAACGTTATCTATGTGTGTACCAATAAATGTAGCTAATTCATATAATGTTTAAGACTAGCTGCCCACTGCCCAGTTTGCGGTTACCACGGTTTAACTACAGCAACCATGTTTTTTTGGTTTTATTTGTAGTAAAACCATGGTTAATTTTGGGAAATTTTGTCCTTTCTTTCTTTCTTTCTTTCTTTTTTTCCAGACAGTCATGTCTGATATCACATTAACTGCAGTAACAATCACTACAAAAACTATTACTGCTTACCGGTTTCTGTATTACTGTTTCCTTGCCTATTTGTTATTTATTTATTTTTATTGGTAAGAACAGCATCCCGCATAGTGTGCCCTTGTTAAAAATTGCCTGATATTTTATTAATACTTAAGATGTGTGTACTGCAAATACTGTACTGTATTATATCTAGTGTCCAAACTAGGAAGACACCATTCAAACAATTCATGAGCGAATCAGATGTTTGTAATAGCATGTATCACATGAACATACAAATATCCTTCATTATCTTAAGACATAAACATACAAATACATACTTGCGCTGGTTTTTGCTTGTGTCAGATATTACAGATGTTACAGATATTCTGCTAATGGAAAGATGCGATTTTTGTTTTTTGCTACAAACAAAACATTATTAAAGCTTATTAAAAACACAAGCATTAGTGTTAATAAAACTAAATGATCTATGTCCAGTTATTTTTTATTTATATCCTTGCAAGGTCCATGAGAGTATTTTAACAATGACATAAAACATCTAGTTCCTAAATTTACATATTCTACCTTATCTACCCTAAAATTACATATTTACAATGAGTACAACACAGAATGCAAAGTAAAACTAATTTCTATCACATCTTACAGCATACTGCAGGCGAGAAATTGGACGAACAATCCCAAAGATTTTGCACTGTGGCCAAATTTGACGTGTTGAAGCACCGAGTGAGAATTTCATAGAAACGTGGGTCACCACATTTGAAGAGGCTGGCAAGCTGTGCAAGAACACCCCACAGTGGGGTATAAGTTTTACCTCTGGGGTGCAAGAGCCCCCCAAAGTTGCTCCATAGACATACTATGGTAAGGAACGGTCCATGAAGCTCTCATCTGTTTTGACTAATTTAATTATCCCTGTGTTTCCTTAGTTCTTTGTCAGGACTCGTTTATGGTAAATGTGTAGTGTGTTGCACTGTTTTGTGTGTGTGTGTGTGTGTGTTTATTAAAACTCCTTGTTAAATATATATATTATATATAATAATATAAAAAAATATATATATATTTTTTGAAAATAGCTAAAATGGCTGTCCCCTTATTAATTCCTAACCCTTTTATATAAGCAGTTCCACAAACACTAAGAAAGTCAGTCTTAAATTTTGTTCAAGTTAGATTTTTGTGATCTTAATTAATTTTATTTTTATGAAATGTTTTATTTTATTTATTTATTTATTTTGAAAGATCAAAAGGATACCCCATAAATATTTATTTTCATAAACTTCTTTGATCATATTTTCTTAGGGTGCCAAATTGTCAATGTAATTCAGACCATGACTCTCTTTCTATAAAATATCTGATATTCTCTTGTTTAGTAACTTTTTTTTTTGATTGCAGTCTCTTTTTTCCTTGGATTTGCTTCTCAGTTCCATACAGTTTTAAGCTTTTCTTGGTTCATTCCATGTTTTAGAGACAACCTCTGTCATGCTAATTCAGATTAGCAGTTGGTTTTAAATGAATGTAGTTTATTTTAGTTCAGAAAGCCATTTTTTAAACCATGATTACCTATTCTAGATTAAGCCTACTCCTGGCTTAATTTAAACCCTGTCTGGGAAACCGCCCCATTAAGTGTCTATACTGCAGTCAGTATGCATACTATAATAGGGCGCCATCTAGTGTACTAACAATTTATCTTTCCAAGATTAGCTCCACCATTTGGCATAAAATGTGAATCGTTATTATTCAGACAGGAATCATTTAGAAATGTATTTATTTATTTATTGCTTACACCATTTATTTATGTATTGCTTGTTTGATGAAGGAACTCTGTTAGCAAAAAGTCATTGTTTGGTGTCATGGCTGAAGGGATGTCAAAATAAAAGGGACTGCAAGAGACCTGCAATATTCAAAAAATAAAAGAAATTGCTTTTAAAATCACCTATTTGAAAATGACATTTCAAATGACAAATTGATGAAATTACATGACATTTTTACGTATTCCATACATAACTATTGTCAATTAAAACTATTAAAGTCTTAAGAGCCATGTATGAACTAGGAGGCTTGATTATCAAATTGTCTGATTGTTACTTATTTTATTTATATAACATACATTTACATTTACATTATATGGTGACTAACTGTTATGAATCCGGTCTATGAACTTCAATTTACTCACCACCAGAGGTCACCCTTCCATTACATTGACTCTTGCACTACACAAACTGTTGCATGTCATCCCGGACTACATATCCCATCATCCATTGCACTGATTGCACACAGCACTGATTGCACACAGCTGTAACCAATCACACATTCACTATATAACACTCACTCAGATCCCTTTCACACTGCCGAGTATTGTTTAGCATCTATGCTGTTATGCATAGCTACTTTATGGCGCCAGTTTTTGAGTCTGAGTCTGAGTCTGAGTCTGAGTCTGAGTCTGAGTCTGAGTCATTCTGTTTATTGCCTTAGTAATTTCGTCTTTTGATACTAGCCTGTATGTCTCGTTTCTGTATGATCTCTGCCTGCCCTGAAGTATATCGCCTGTCTTGGATTACCCCTCTCGTCTCGCCCTGTTCGGATACTGTTTATTCCTCGCCTGGACCATCGCTTGTGTTTCGGATTACTCTTCAGTCTTGCCCTCTATATACCTGTTTGCCATTGTCTGACCCATGCCTGTTTTATGACCGCGTCTCTGTCTCCTATTAAAGCTTTGCAAATGGATCTGCAAGTCTCATGTCTCATTCGCCCCGTAAAAGAAACAACCAATTCTTGCTTGTTTACTCACTGTATATTCATATTTTTTTCTTCCTTGTTTTTCGTTCATCTTCACTTATTTTTTGCTTCGCTTCAGCTATGATAAATAGACATCCACATCCACGTGTTCGTGCATTTTTGGGGTGGAGCAATGAAGGGAGGGTTGATTTTGGATTGATTTCAAATATGATCTCCTAATAAAACACTTTATTTATTTGTGAGTAATAAAACTGATACAAATTCAAACAGTTTCATGTTCAAACTATACACTATTTGTTTCATTAACCTTTGATGGAAGACACATTGTAACAAATAAACGCACCTACGTACCTGCCAGGAATGCACACAATGAGAGCAAAATAAAGAGCCTCATTTTTACCATAGGCTCCAGGGTTAAAATACAAACAAACAAAAAAGCAAAATAATTCACATAATGGCAATTCAAATAATGTAAAACTGTAGGCAATCTCTGCAATAATTCACATCACAATTCTCAGCATAGAAATACTGAATTTAAAATGGGAAGGTATGTTGTTAATTAATGTGTATCTCTTTAAATACAAAATCATGTGTTTTTATAATGCTCTAGAAGTGATGAATTAAAGTGTGTTTCACATCTCTACTTTTTGAGACACAGGATTAAACATTCACATGCTCTATGTCTAATATCCACAGAAAAACTGGCAACGTGCACACATATACTTATATAATCTACCCATTATATTTCTCATAAGATATGCATTTGCAGCCTTAAATGACCCACTGTGTAAGATATGAGTATGAAACAGTAAAAAGAATGCAACAAAAAGAAAGCATTCTAAGAAAGCATATTATTTTTTAATAATATCCTCACAATACTGATATTTGTATGCACACAAAAACAAAACATATAAACAAATATAGTCCTACTAATTAAAAAATAAAAAATAAATAAATAAAAGTTAAGACTAGTAATAGTCTTCATTTAAAAAAATAAAAAAACATCTCCATGGTTTAATGATAAACCAATATTACTCAGGGCAATAATCTGCTCCTGCTCCATCTGTGGTCAGAAGTCACTACTGAATTTATATTAGATTTACCTTAGAGGTTAAAATAAACACCAGGGTTGATCTATAGATCAATGTGAGCACAAGAGTTTATATCAAACACATCTAGAGCTCCTTTTTTGAGGCTCACATGAGTAGAAATATATACAGTAGTTTCATACTGAAGCTGCTGGAAACCTCTGTAAAGTTGAGTCTGTCTCATCATTTCAGTCATTTCTTCTGTTTGCAGTGGAACCTGAAGGAAAACACACAAGACAGGAAAAGATAGAAAACAGACTAAATTGAAATCACAAGGGAAAAGGGAACAGTGGCTGTATAGTAATAACCAGCCACCAGTAAATAATGTAGCGTTGCAGTGAAGAAGATCAATATAATACAATTAATATAAACTATAAACCAAGTGAATTCAATGTGCTCAATGTGTGATTGTCTAAGTTTTGTAATCAAATAACTGTCATAAAACATTAAAATGAACAGATGATTTAAAATAGACCAAATATCTGAAAATTAAAGATATTCTGGAAACCTACACTGTAAAAAAAACTCTGTAGTTTTTACAAAATAATTTTGGCAGCTGTGGTTGCCAGAATAATTTTGTAGAAAAATACAGAAAAACAGTAAACACATGTACGGCCAAAAACGGTAAACTTTACAGTATAAAACTGTAATTTACAAACAAGAAAATTTGAATGTAAACCAGTAAATTCAACAATGCACACTGCTATTAAAATCTGTTTTGTACCTTTAACAGGCTGGCAACCACCATAATAATGCAGGTGGTAAAAGAGAAAGCCACATGAAGAATCAAAGCTCATCACAAGTAGCTTCGCCACAAGCAGAAGTATATACTAATATATAGAAGGTGCACGAGTCATTCATGCAAACACAAAACACCATCACGGTAACACACATGATACTTAAATAATGCATTCAACTTTCATTAAACAACAGAAGATGTAACATAAAGCCCAAATATACATAACTAATAACAAAGACTATTAAAAAAACTTGATTATTTAAACAAAATACTTTCAAATGTGGAGTGTCATGCAGGGAATTCTGGGAATATCAGTTTACAGTTTTTGACTGTAAATTATACATTGATTTGTTCTTTTTACTTCTAAAAACTGTACAATTGTACGTTACAAGCTTATAGAATTGTACAGTAAGAAAGTTATTTCCCTTAACCAGGAAATTAATGTTCTTAGAATTGACAAGACAGTTGACCCTGAGTGGTCAGCTAAATATCTACAGCGGATCTAAAATATTAATAATTAATCATAACTAGTTATGGTTAATTATTCATATTTCCTGTTGTGAGCTAAATTCGCTACACAGTGTATGATAAGGACAAGAATCATAATAAGAATGACTTTCTGTTGCCATTAATATCTTAATACCGAATCCAGTAGAACTGTTTTAAACAGATTTTGTCATAAAGTGAAGTTATCAGTATCTCATCATCTCTCCATACAAATCAGTAACATCTGTTTTTAGAGTGACCGTTTCTTCTTCCATCACTGATACTGACTTAATACAGAACAGAATTTAGAGCAGGAAAACTAACATGGTGTGATTTATACACTAGAAAAAAAGTGACATGCTCTTTTTAGGCCCAGCAAATGTGCTGTTTAGACACACAGGGAAATAAACTAAAAATAAACGTCCTATATAAATAACAAAAAAAAAAGGAAAACCTGAAAAACTGGCTATGAAGGATTGACAGTGTTGGGGGGGAATGGAAACCCAGTTTCCAAACACTATATGCAAAAACAGACTTATACTGTAAGCAAAATCAAATTACCACATAACTTACAATACTGAGAGAAAATCAAAACCCACTTTCCTGTCACAGAATAGGAAATTAGAGACAAAAATAACAATATAAAATCTAAAAGAAAGCATCTAGACCTAATGAAGTTTACTAGGGGAATGTAAAGATTTGTATCAAGCATATTTTTATTGCTCTTTCTGTCAAGTGTGGTGGCCGGAAAAATGTATGGTCCTCCACACAGCAGCATAGACACCTTCAGCACCATGGAGAGCAGCAATAGAGGCGTTTATTAATTATTATTAATTTCCGACACCAAGGGCCAACCCAAGAAGAAAGAAGTGCCTTAGTTACAATATTTTCCCTCTCCCCCTCTCCCTCACCTTGAGAATAAAAAAAGCCTTCACTGAACTCCTGCCTGATGAATTGCTTATTCTTACACCCTGAGTTGATTTGCGCAAATCCTGTTTTATTTCAAGGTTACACTTATTAATACACAGTAATTACTTTTATTTTACTTGTAAATTCATTGTATTGTAATGCCATCTATTTTATATTTCTTTGTCAATTATACAGGTTTCCTTTTTTTTTTGTTTCTGTTGTTTTGCACTATTCTCACTTTGCAACACTGCAAACGCTTCCGTAATATGAAAGTAAAACTGAAACTGAACTTTACAAAGGAAGAATTTGAAATCACATGATTAACTAAAACTGTCTCTCCTCCAGTTTCCTTTTCGTACTGAAACGGAATTGACTTTCACAGAAACAAACCGAAACTCAAAGTCATTTATTTTTAGTTTGAAAGAATGCTAATACTTACACTTTTGCTTTTTTTTTCATTCATGCTTCCTGCAGACACGGCAAGTCACACAAACGGCAGCAGCCACGGCCAGCGCCAACAGGACTGCACTCACAAATACTGCTTTCATATCCCGCGCCGGAGTTTCTACATGTGAATCCGTAGTGAACAGAGGAAGATGGTCGTTAATCTGATTTGTAACATACACTACAAATTATCAGCAAATCTAATAGAGAGTAAATGTTAATGCTGATGAATAGAACATCACACTTCATACATGGTCATCATTAAGTAAAATCTCATTCATCATGTGTTTCTAAATTTTATCATTTGAGTAGCCTATTTTCATGACTTTTCCAGCGATTTGTGAGGAAAGGACTGTGGGCGTCGCTAGGCCATATTTAGGGGGGCTATAGCTATAATGACTACTCAGCCCGCCTAAAATTTTGCGATTAGCTCCATAAAATGTACACGGATTCGTGATCGCCTCAGTCCTCTTTAAGTTAAAATGGCGGCAGACTTCGACCGGCTCCTCTCCGTCTTTCAGCGTGTTCTTTTTCAATCGGCAGAGCAAGAAACAGAGAACAAGGTGTGTGTTTATCGATAGATTGTTATAATATCTGTGCAGTTCTGTTCTTTGTCATAAATACAGTTTACAAACTATCAATCGTTTCCCCATCTATTGTAGCCTAAGTTTTCGCTGCGTTCACCCCTCATCACACCACACAGCTGTTTCCTCCAGTGAAAAGGAAGCACATATGAACGCATACTTTATAAAACGATCATGTTGCCATTTTCATTTAAAAATGTAACTTTCAATGCAATACATATTCCAGTGCATGTGGCAAAAAGGTTTGCATACTTGAGCTAAGGAAAGAGGGTTGTACTAGAAATGCAAACAGTAACATTTTGTGTGTGTACAGTAAACAGGCGTGTGTGTGTGTGAGATCACGAAGACATTTGGCGTATTCAATTATATGTTATATCTATGCAATACAGTGGAATACTGCACTTTCTGATATATAAGTTACCACTAATACCACCCCTATTAGTCAAACACATACAGTATATATATAGAATTGCCCCTGACTGTTAAATTCATTTAATAGAAATTAGTCACAACAACAAAATGACGAATTTCTTTTAGCTAAAAATTAATTGAACGTAGTAAATAAAATCACTACAAAACTTTCAGTCTGCATCCCGCATCCACTGATCTACGCTTTTGAATCTCACATATGCTTTTGAATCTCATCGACTACTCATCTATATCTAAATGAACAGACAAGTAGAAATAACTTTACTGTTATGGAATGACTAATCTATACTCACCAATGACAGTAACGCTGAAGTTCCTAATAATACTGCAGCTGCTGCTGTTGATCTGTAGTTTATAAAGTCCAGAGTCTGTGATTGTGATGTTTGTGATGGTTAGAGATCCAGTCTGATTGTCCAGCTTCAGTCTGTCTCTGAATCTCTCATCACTATCTTTACACTGAACATCTGTACAGTTCTTAGTAGGATGCCCATTGATTTCAGCAATGAGAATGTCATTAAAACACCATATCATCAAATCATCTGGATTTACTACACCAGTACATAGAGTGACTGTTTCTCTCTCCTTCACTGGCACTGTCTTCTTTTGATCTGTAGAAAAAACACCAAAAGCTATTATGTTCTGGCAGAGCAGTGATAAGAACAAGCTGATTGACACGTCTCCTAAGTGCAATTGGAAGCTCGGTTGGTCGTCAGTTGCTCCCTTGTGGCAATGCTTTTTTTCCCCCAGTACAGTATCTTTAAAGAAGGCGCAATGTAAGTAAGAACACTGTTGTGTTAAACTCTATCAGGAAATCTGGATCAATATGAATCAAATACTCAGTAATACAACTTTATTGAATGTTACACTTTTTTTGTACTAATATACCAGATGGGATTATAAACTACTGCATTCTGCATCATATAGCACTGACATATTTTGTTGTGATCATAAAATGTTATAATAAAGAAATGTTGTGATTTAAACTCATAGCTTGCTTTTAAACATTCATTAAATGCCTCACCATGAACAGTAACATTGAAGATCTTTTCACTGCTGGGGCTGCCTAAAATCTTCAGTTTATAGAGTCCAGCATCTGAGGTCATTATGCTTGTGATGGTCAGAGATCCAGTCTGATTGTCCAGCTTCAGTCTGTCTCTGAATCTCTCATCACACTGAACATCTGTACAGGTCTTACTGAGATCTCCAGTGATTTGTGCTAAGCGAATGTCATTAAAATACCATCGAATTCTGTCTTGTTGGTTTGTTTTAACACCAGTGTGTAGAGTGACACAATCTCTCTCCATCACTGACACTGTAATTTCTTCAACACCAAACACACCTGAAGAAGAAACAAACAGTTCATTATAAATCACTTCATAACAATCATAAAGATCATAAGAAATGCAATTAGATTCATACATAGGCTATGAAAAACACAATACATGTATGACATGTGAACAAACAGTATATGAACATGTCTGATTTACAAAAATCACACACTCACATTGGATTGTGTTTAGTGAGACAACAGCATCATCATAGAGAACAGAAAATTTTTATATCACCTGACCTGACCTGGGCTGCGTTTCCCAAAAGCTGCGTAAGCCTAAGAAGTTCGTAAAAACGATCGTACGCCTTATCTTAATATTACGGCCTGTTTCCCAAAAGCATTGTAACTTAAGTAGCACTTAAAGTTAAGTGCATTTTTGGGAAACACACGTGAGACAATAACGAACGATCGCAAAATGACTCGTAGCAAACGCTCTTAAGTGCTAAGAGCAATCGTTAACGAGAAACGCAGCCCTGAGCATTTTCAATATATTTTGCCTTATTCTTTTTTCAGTTTCTGTCCTCATACCCCCCATAAACATGTCTGCAACAATGTGTCCTCGTTTACCACATTGAAAGTAAATTCCTCATTGACATAAAACAGCAATAACTAAGTATAAATCGAGTATATTTATACACTATCAAGTATAAATTGAATAGTATATCAAATGAAACTGAAAGCTTGTAGATTGTAAGAAAATGTCTTACCATGGCATAGTAAAACACACGCTGAGAACCAAGTAAAGAGAAGCTTCATTTGTACCACCTTTCTTCAGAAAATGTTGTGCTTCAATAAACTGTGCTGCTGGGAAATAAAAGTTGCGTGTTATTTTACTTGAGTCTGGGCTTTCCTTGAATCAGAAGTGCCTATGGAAATTGCAGTAGCATGACACGTCTCAGCACTGTTAAAAAAAAATTCTGCCAGGACATTATCTGTATATTCCTAAAACACGACACACAGAGGTACACAATTAGAAATGCAGGTAAGAAACGTGTTATTTTTCATCATATTGATACAGAATATTGTGCCCTATTTTTATGGTTTTTGTTGTTGTTGTTTTTTTTAGAGTGAGGCTCGATTCAATCACAACGCTGACTGGCAAATGTTTGATGCAAAATAATCAAACAGATGCTAGTGGCACATAAATGGATATACAATTTACAAACATGTACAGTTTTCACATTCTAAAAAAAAAAATAGTTGTTTATAAATACAAAATAATAATCATATGTCCACCACATACACACACACACACAGAAAGACACACAGGTTTGTTTTTGTGAAAAGTGGGGAAATCCCATAGGCGTAATGGCTTTTCTACTGTACAGACCGTATATTCTATTGCCCTTTACCAACCCTTCCCCTAAACCTACACCTTACAGGAAACTTTGTGCTATTACAGATTTTCAGTACACTTCATTCTGTGTGATTTATAAGCGTTTTGAAAAGTGGGGACATGGGGTAATGTCCTGAAAAGTCACCTTCTCTTTGTAATACCTATGTCATACCCTTGTCATTATGCAATTTTTTTTTTCTCATTTGTCGCACGCGCGCGCACGCACACACACACACACACACACACACACACACACATATATATATATACATTGTTTTATACATATATATATTGTTTTATGGTGCTAAATTTCCTACACTTTCTACCTTATTTTATTTATTCTCAGGTTAAGTAGTAAGTCGAATCTGTCCTATCTCATAAGCATCTGAGTTCATACTTACAAAATAAACCACAGAAGACTTCTCCGTGGTCTGTTCTTAGCTATAAATCAATGCCAGGGGAGGCAGACTTGTGTTATATAAATACAAGTCAGTTTTTTATTACAATTAGTAAGTAAGCAGTATATTCTACAACTTCTCAATATAAGTATTAAATAAAGTATAAATATCAAAAAGTTCTTTGCTCAAGGCAATATCATCAATGGTTCTGCCAGAGAGCTCTTCGGGTGGTCTCGAAGCAGCATCTGATTTCTTTTATAGACAGCAGGCGAGTCATGACACCTTTTGTGACATCATACTGGAAATCCCAAATATAAATTAAATGTTTTATTTATTTTTTATTTTATTTTATAAATGTACTTAATAAACCACTTTCTCAATAAATCAAATATAAAACAAATACAATATCATGTGTGGTGTCTTTCTTAATAAACCACTTTCTCAATAAAACAAATATAAAACAAATACAATATCATGTGTGGCGTCTTTCTTAATAAACCACTTTCTCAATAAAACAATACCAATAACAATTGTATTTGGTTACAATACAAAGGTATTACATAAAAAATAAAGGCATATTTGCAATAGGACAATTGCTTAATTTCCTCTACAACATGCAGCAGTTACAGATTTGCCTGTATGAGGCCTGCTCAGGAAATAAACTAAATAATACACCCTTAGACATAATATATTAACTAAATACATTAAACAATGAGGCAGGGTAATTGTACATTTACACAACAATATATATATATA